CTCCTTCACGTCACGGACGATTTCTCTCTCGGCTGAGGACAGACAAGCCAAGAATTCGCCAGTCTTCTTAACAACACGAGGGTTCTCACGAGCAGACCTAACCATAATTCAGATTTGCCATTTTTATAACTGTAATCAAAATGACGTTAAACTTCATCATTGTTTTATGGAAAGAAGAACGGCTGCTTACCCGTTGTGACGAAGGAGTATCCGCGCTCGGTCAGGATCTTCATCAGGTAGTCTGTCAGGTCCCGGCCGGCCAGGTCCAGACGCAGGATGGCGTGCGGCAGGGCGTAGCCTTCATAGATGGGCACGTTGTGGGTGACTCCGTCGCCGGTGTCAAGCACGATACCGGTGGTGCGGCCGGAGGCGTAGAGAGACAAGACGGCCTGGATGGCCACGTACATGGCCGGGGTGTTGAAGGTCTCGAACATGATCTGGGTCATCTTCTCCCTGTTGGCCTTGGGGTTGAGGGGAGCCTCGGACAGCAGCACGGGGTGCTCTTCGGGGGCCACACGCAGCTCGTTGTAGAAGGTGTGGTGCCAGATCTTCTCCATGTCGTCCCAGTTGGTGACGATGCCGTGCTCGATGGGATACTTGGTGGTCAGGATGCCTCTCTTGCTCTGCGCCTCGTCACCGACATAGGCGTCCTTCTGTCCCATGCCGACCATGACGCCCTGGTACCTGGGGCGGCCCACGATGGACGGGAAGACGGCCCTGGGCGCGTCGTCGCCCGCAAAGCCGGCCTTGCACATGCCGGAGCCATTGTCGACGACGAGAGCAGCAACCTCCTCTTCGCACATGATGGAGAGTTAGTCTGGTAGCACCACTGGAACTGGGAGAAGAACCTGGCAAATCTTGGACCGCAGTGAAGAACTGGACAATCTGGTCCGGTATATATACTCCGACACCTGAAGTTTTTAGAAACGCATTCGCGGAAGTAGCGCCCGTATAAGGAAGGCGTCTCCTGTTTTGGCTTGGGTACTACACAGCAGAGTGACTAGTGTGTGACATTCCTGCCAGAGGGCGGGAAGGGGAATGCTTGTCTTGTCTATTCGTGGAGAGTTTACTTAGTTACTCACAAGGTACACGAACATCATGTGGGCTAGTAAAACCGGCAGCGATCTTTGTAGGTGGTATTTCGCACGCGTGGCTCTTTCGTTCGATATGTATGCCTTATGAACTGTATATTTTCATGTATGGCTTCTTATTACATGTATTTTCATTAACCACCACTCGGGGTTTGCAATCTCGAGGAAGCGGGAGGCTAACATATATGGTGGCCTTCTTTTGGACATAGGTTCGTACTAAGACTCTTCTATAACTTGAAATGTCGACAGATTTATGACTCTGAGAGAACTATAAAGTTGTTCCCTGTCGTTCACATATTTTAAAGGGTTTTAATGTCCGTAGATGATTTCAATGTCTCTGTATAATCGCTATACGTAATCTGCCAAACAACCACATCATATAATTGTCTGTTACAACAAGTTGTTGTACGGGACATTCCAAGCATTACAAGAGTTATTTTGAATCTAACATTTTCCTGTTACCGTGTTCATCTTCAAACAATATGGGGAGGCCATAAAATAATGTTGCCCTAAAGTTTAATGTACTACCTTTTCTGTAAAAAAAAACCTTTATTACCTTCGCCAAGAAGGTTATGTTTTCAGGGGCGTTCGTGTATGTGTGTGTGTGTGTGTGTGTCTGTCTGTCTGTCTGTCTGTAAACACGATAACTTGAGAAGGCCTTGATGGATTGTCTTGATACTTGGTAGGTGGGTAGGTCTTGATGAGACCTCAAAATGATTAGATTTTGGGCCCCCTAGCGGCTTGTTATGGTACTGCAGCTGAACTTCCGGTTTTGATATCTCATGATCTAGACATGCTAGAGTGACGAAATTTGGATGGTAGGTAGCTCTTGTGCTGGGGAAGAAGTGACGTGAGTTTGGGCCCCCTAGCGGCTTGCTCTAGAACTGCAGGGATATATTCTTGAAAATATTCAAAAGGGGATAACTCAAGAACCGATTGACGGATCGTCGTGATTTTTGGTATGTAGGTAGCTTACGCGATGTTTAATATAATTATGTGACAATTATGCAAATATGGATGTAATTTGCATAATTTATGGGGAAATTCTATAAATCAGCTGCATTCCATGATAGGACAATTGAAGCTTGTGACATTGGTAATTGACAATGAGAGAAACACAGGAAGATATTGATTATGTTAATAATGACTTAATTTGCATAATTAATGAGAAAATTTTATAATTATGTAATGATAACTGCCTGGAATTTCATACTTGTGGTATTTGAATGTTTAGTTGACGTGAACATCATTAAACATAATTTATTCAAATCAGGACCTCATTTGCATAATTTATTAGGAAATGCTAGAATGCATTGTTTGTTTATATATATAAGACTGTCTTTTGGCTGAGATTATGATAAAATGATATAATTCATGAAAATTAGGTTCCTATTTCTTAAGTCAGGGGGGAATAATCTAATCTATAATTTGTCAGTCATAAAGTTTAACATCATTTGGCGAAGGTATGAGATCGGGGAACTCTAGTTGTATATATATTTATGAACCAACGGGCTCAGTAGAAACTGACATGAGAGATCAAGTGAAATGATAGAGTATTTTACAGTTATTGTAGGGAATTGGCGAGACTGTGTTGTCAAAGAGCATCGGCTTATTCCAAACGAAACATACCAAAATGATAATGTAACATGTTTGGTCCAAAATATAGGCGCAGTGACAACTTGTTTATGTCAATATAGCTTTGGGCTCAAGTCTAGAAGAAATTAGAAGAATTTAAGAAGTGATAGATATGGTGGTCTAATCGTTGAATCTCGTGTCAAAAATAGAGACTGCCAAACGCAAAAGGCCGGAGTTTTGCAAACACACTTTCTAATTGGAGCAGGTCTGTAAATAAGAGGATGCTTATCTGTAATAGGCAACAGACCGTAGGGTGACAAACACATTTTCTATTAATCTTGATGACTTAAGACGAAGAAAGGAGGGGGCAACCAGCTTCAACCAGCTAATCTTTTCCTATTCGAAGTTGGTTTCTTTGAACACGATTGATATCTTTCTTCGTCTTCTTTACCTAAAAAAATTCAGTGCTACTGGGCGCCGCCATTTTGGATGATTGATCAGCTATCCCATAATATTTGCTTCTACAACATCACACGTACGCGTGACGTCAGAAATAGAATGGGTGGTCCGGCAAGTCATCCGATATTCCTCCTGTGTATCCAGTTCGACATTCTCAAAAGACTCACTGATTATCTGATGAGTTTCTGAACTATTTCAATTTACTCAGGCCTGACGAAGTAGCTATATATGGTTGGGAAAGGCGTCAGAAATATACCAGCGGGAAACTTGTACCCGTGCTGACAAACTGATAATTAAGAAGAATTGCCTTGGGAAGGTTGAAAATTCTAAGCCTCTTTGAAGCTTCTCGCTCTCACTTGAAAAATATTAAGAGTTAGGGCGAGAACGTATCTTAATGCATGGCCGTTGATAGTTAAATAGCTTCTCATGTGGATGACTTTGACGTTTATGCCAGTACGATTGAAAAAAAAGAGAACACGTGTTTGCACAATAAGTACCGACTGAGCTAAAATAGCGGCTAACACCGTGATTGACGACTAAACATACATGAAAAGCATTTTGGGTGGATTCGTTGCAAGTTACTACGTACCTGAAATTTGCTAATTTTCAATTACCTTTTCTCATCCGATGTAAGTGAAAACATTTTTTTCATAGGACATGTCGCGACTGACATCACAGCTCTAGTGCTGCCGGGAAGGGCTTTTGACTGGAAGCCTAAATACTTACAAAACACATAAGTACGAATAAGACAACCACATGCACTCAAATCGTCCTTTTTTTTAGACTGGGGAAGTTCTTGTCACGACTACTTGCTGGTTTACCACCAACGCCGATGACTGGATTCGTAGGCGTGTGGCGTGCACAACTTATTACCCCCACCAATAACCATGGTATTTGCACACACCCTGGCTTTTAGTATTGTACATCTCTCCCCATAGAGTTTGGGAAGAGCCAAACTGTCCTCACCAGCTATGTGAACCCAGCGTTCCATACAGCACAAGTCCCATGCCCAAACATAGAGCCTTGTAGTTTACAAATCATTATTAACTCGTCTTGTGTGGACATTCCGCGTGCCTCTTTCCGGCCTTGTTTACCTTGGGTCAACCGATTCCCTGTTATATGTACTTAGAGGGATATCCCACGGCAGGAGGGTCTGTTAGGGGTTTGTACAATTATTGAACGTAAGCTGCTACCAAAGATGAGTGACCTAAGGGGCTGAGCTTTATTTTCTTCCGTCTTGTCCCAGATTTCATTTTTGTCAAGTGTGGTAAAATTTACCTTGCACCTGATTCTCGAATTCAAGAATCAATGGTGGGAGAGAAAGATGCACAAGGAAAGAGAAGAGGGAATTTATTTTTTTTTGCAGGACTTCGTTTTCCCTTTTTATGAAACTGTTTCTAAGACAACAGGACTTAGTACCGATAAATATTTTCGGTAGTTTATCACTAAGTTGTATGCCTTAAATACGTTATCATAGACAACACAATAAAACAAATTCACAATGAAATGTCAGATTTACATCTATTTTATTTCACCAACAGCTTTTAGACACCCTGATACATAATCGGACATGTTACATAAAAGTATCAACACCCACAGCGTTCCATCACGGAAACATCCAAAATCACAGCGTTTCATATAGGACGTAGCAGAGCCGCCCCACAGGCATAGTGTTCATTCTGGAAGCATTCAATCTCATCTTCATCACTTTTTCTTATCCTTACACATTTAAAATGATTGTTATTTTGATGGTAATAACAGGCAACATTTTTACCGAGACATGTGTAGCATTAAACATCAGAATAGGTTTAAGAGCTAAACATTTTCGGTTGAGATTTAGAAGCACTTGCGGTGGACAATGGCGGGGCCGGACTCGTCGTACTCCTGCTTGGCGATCCACATCTGCTGGAAGGTGGACAGGGAGGCCAGGATGGAGCCGCCGATCCAGACGGAGTACTTCCTCTCGGGAGGAGCGACGATCTTGATCTTCATGGTGCTGGGGGCCAGGGCGGTGACTTCCTTCTGCAGACGGTCGGCCAGGCCGGGGTACATGCTGGAGCCGCCGGACAGCACGTTGTTGGCGTACAGGTCCTTACGGATGTCGATGTCGCACTTCATGATGCTGTTGTAGGTGCCCTCGTGGATGCCGGCAGACTCCATGCCGATGAAGGAAGGCTGGAACAGGGTCTCGGGGCAGCGGAACCTCTCGTTGCCGACGGTGATGACCTGTCCGTCCGGCAGCTCGTAGCTCTTCTCCAGGCTGGAGGTGGCGGCGGCGGTGGCCATCTCCTGCTCGAAGTCCAGGGCGATGTAGCACAGCTTCTCCTTCACGTCACGGACGATTTCTCTCTCGGCTGAGGACAGACAAGCCAAGAATTCGTCAGTCTTCTTAACAACACGAGGGTTCTGTTTTTTTCTGATACACTTTAGCCTTGTAGGAGGAGACCTACCCTTAATTAGAATTTGCCATTTTACAATTGTAAGACCCAGTTATTAAAATGGCGTTAAACTTCACCATGTTTTATAAAAAGAAGGATGGCTGCTTACCCGTTGTGACAAAGGAGTATCCGCGCTCGGTCAGGATCTTCATCAGGTAGTCTGTCAGGTCCCGGCCGGCCAGGTCCAGACGCAGGATGGCGTGCGGCAGGGCGTAGCCTTCATAGATGGGCACGTTGTGGGTGACTCCATCGCCGGTGTCCAGCACGATACCGGTGGTGCGGCCGGAGGCGTAGAGAGACAAGACGGCCTGGATGGCCACGTACATGGCCGGGGTGTTGAAGGTCTCGAACATGATCTGGGTCATCTTCTCCCTGTTGGCCTTGGGGTTGAGGGGAGCCTCGGACAGCAGCACGGGGTGCTCTTCGGGGGCCACACGCAGCTCGTTGTAGAAGGTGTGGTGCCAGATCTTCTCCATGTCGTCCCAGTTGGTGACGATGCCGTGCTCGATGGGATACTTGGTGGTCAGGATGCCTCTCTTGCTCTGCGCCTCGTCACCGACATAGGCGTCCTTCTGTCCCATGCCGACCATGACGCCCTGGTACCTGGGGCGGCCCACGATGGACGGGAAGACGGCCCTGGGCGCGTCGTCGCCCGCAAAGCCGGCCTTGCACATGCCGGAGCCATTGTCGACGACGAGAGCAGCAACCTCCTCTTCGCACATGATGGAGAGTTAATCTGGTAGAACCACTGGAACTGGGAGAAGAACCTGGCAAATCTTGGACCGCAGTGAAGAACAGGACGATCTGGTCCGGTATATATACTCCGACACCTGACATGTTTGACACTGCGTTCTGGGAAGTAGCGCCCGTATTTGGAATGGTCTTCTCCTCAGAACCACTTATGGCGATGCTGTTTTGTCTCCTTGTAACTCGCGTGCTAAATTCTTGTAACGGGAAGGCTGTGCAAGGGTAGGACTAGGCCAAACTCGGGTTCGAGACAAGCACTCGACAAACAAGAGGCCAAACCGGGGATTCCCTTCTCGGCAGTGTACACATGGCATTCTTTAGCCGGCCGATTTAGCTTCACTGACGGAGGCATGTTGGCTGAACGTCACGGCCGGGATCAAACTCAGAAAACACAGAATTCGCAGTGGGTTCGGATGGTCTGGTGCAGTTCGTTTGGCCCGTGTATTCAAAACAGGAAGAAGGAGAGGGATGTACGAAAGTCCTGTGGCTCTGCAATATCGATTCTATGTTTTTCCAAGGAGCTTTCATCACAGACAACTGATCCGGTGGAACAGCAACTAGGCTATAGATGTTTTGTATCAGAACTTAAATCTAAACGTAGCTTTTCTACTCACTGGAATGTAGAGTGACATTCCACGAATATCCTTCGAATCTCGCGAAGCATAAGAAGTGTTTGAATGTGTCAAATCATTTTTCAAGAGAAATCTGAAGATTTGTTGTTGATGAATGACACAGAACTAGTTAGATCTAGATACTTTCGACCCAGTATTTTCCGATCATACGGAGCTGTACAAAACAAACTGCTCAGTAGTAGAAGGCCGCCCGGTGTGAGGGCGGATTGTTGTTTACATGTTAAGTAACTAAACTAACATCATCTCCATCAGAATGTATAGCGTTAAACCGAAGACTACAGCAAAGAGTCCCACATTCAGAACTGGTACAGAATAGATATAGTTATAGGCAGCCCATCGAACAGTATACTAGTTCTGTATTAATATTATACCAAACCCTTCGTGTTGCCCTGAAAATTTGAACTGTTACTGTTGGTGAAAAACGTGTTTTCCCAAGCCATTCCTCTATCGTTCTTTTAACCTTTGATATATATGTTACTTAAAGTCACCCCATATTTTAATGGATAAAGGTGTAGAAACCATGCATACTACAATCATGTGAGTTGTCAACTTTAACGCTGCTTAACTTTTGTCGGTCTTGAACACTGAACTATTTTGGGAAGTTTCCTTCTCTGTAAATTCTATTAACTTGAGTGAGGGGCTATTCTTACACTTTGCAGTAGGGTGTGAGATAGCCGTCCATTCCTACTGACGTGCTTTTTCCACTATTCAAATAAGATCCAAAGTATTTTCCCAACCCTCCCCTAGCGGCTTTATATAGCGGCTTTATATCACTCATGACTGTTTGCTAGATAGTAGCTCACTTTCGCATATGTCCATCGCAATTACAAGAAGCTTAATAGCCCAATTTTCAAGTGAATCTTAGCCTATTGAGAAAGAATGGGGTTGTTTCAGTCGAAATTCTAACCGTGACAACCGCTGAACTGCAAACTTTGGCTTTCCTAGTTTCAATCGAATCATGATCACTTCCGTAGCAGTGACCTGATTGGGTCTCGGTCCTCTTTGTATTTGGGGGGGGGGGAGGTGAATAGAA